AAATCTTTACAAGTTACAAATCAAACAGTTTAACAAAGTATTTGATATTCTATACATAAGGAAATAGCATTCAAATATATACATAGTTTATAGAGAATAAATAAATGTGAACCTAGCCATTATCAATATGGATTATTTTAACTTGGTAACCAAATATCTTAACTGTTCATAATTTCTCATACTTTGAATTTTTTTCCATATATTTGATACTGTTTCCCCATATGAAATGGGTAAAAATTTTTAGAAAAATTAAAGTTACACGTAACAGAAAAGAAGATTAATTCAGCATTGTATGTCTGTCATAGATATTTCGGCGCTGTTCTTGCACTTGCCGCTTCCATCTATCTTGCTGCTGGCCGACTCTGTTCAAAACATTTGTACTTGAAGTACGTGGTCGCTGCATAGCTGCTATTGGCTCATCCTATCAAAGAAACAAGTGAAAAAATTTAACAAAACATACAAGTAAATGTACCAAAAATTTATGAAAGTGTTCATAACAAACATTACAAAACACTGAATTCAATATTTAGTTAATCAGATTTTCAAGATAAAAGAAGTTACCAGATTAACTTCTTCATTTGTATGCTCTTCATAAGTGGTACTGCGTTTGTTAAGCAGAGGATCCAAGCACATTAGAAACAGCATATATACAACCAAAAGAGAAATCACCCAAATGATCAAAATAACTACAACCTAAAATAAAATGTTTAAAAATTGTTTTAGTTTTGAAAATTATAACTAAAAAGATTAATGTGTAAAAATATACAAAATTATTTACAAATCAAAATATTTATACATTCCATTCACTTGCATATATCTAACTTTTATAGTAGCTTGATTAATATTAATCTTTTCCTAATAATAATTAATATTTATAAATTTAAAACTAAACTATTATTCATATATTAGTTTGTATTACTTAGTTTTAAAATTTCAAGGTAATTAAAATTGCAAACAAGCTTCAAGTTATCAAATTGTATTTAGTATAAAAATTTTTTAAATTAAAATCAATCAATCTTCATTACATCATATCTCATTTAAAATATACACAGTGATAATTAATTAATGGATGAACAATAGAATAAAATTTTTTCATTATAATTATATTAATAATATCTCAATAATTAAAATATTCATTAATGTGTTTAAAAGTTTTAATATCCAAAGTTTTAATATTAAAGTTTTTAATTCTATTAACATTTTGTTAATAGAATTAAAAACTGCTTAGATATAATATTAATATCTTATATTAATGAATAATTACATCCAATATGATTTATAAATCAAATTCTTTACATTCTTATTGTAGAAAAAAATCATTTATGTCATTCGATAAAATCTTATCAAAAAGTTAAATGTTTTAATAGAGTAATATGGTACAAAGTTTATATGCAAATAGACAATATACTGTATTTGCATTATATTTTTGTCTTTAATATAAAAATCATGTTTTTATATTCAAAATGTAAATTGTTAATTATAATATTAAAAATTTCATTAAATTTTGAAGATGTTTTCATCTTTCATTGAATGCAACAAAAATAAATGCTTAAAAATTCTAAAACATTTGATTTCTGTGTGGATTACAAATCTATGTAAAATAGAAAAATCTTCAACTTCAGCATATAACATTCTACTCAATAAGATTTTTAACAAGATTAAAATAATATATTCATTATTTAAATAAGTTTGTCTAATAAAATTTTATAAAAATAAATTTGGTTAAAAAAATATTTTAAAAATTTGTAGTTTATAGCTTTCACATTATAAATAAATTATTATTATACAGGCAATTTTATTAAAAATATCTTAATTAAATTACATAAAATTTTTTATACGATCACAGTTGTCACTTTTGTTTCCAAAATAATCATTTCTATCTTAAAAATAAAACAAGTAAATCCAATAATATTATTACCTTTATATAAATTATATCTGATACTAAATTACATGAGTATATATTAATGTGCATTTACCATTTATATCTTTTCATTATTAAACAGTTTGCATTGAATGAATTATATGATTAGTAAATATTAATATAAAATGCACTGTTCTAAATGTGAGCTATAAATAATGTTTGTATTTTGATGATTCATTAACTAAAATAATTACATGTTTATATTTAAACATATTTTTATGTTATTCATTAGCTAAATTATATGATCTGATTTTATTAAAATTACCATTAGTTGTTTTTATATGATAAACTTTCCATGTACCATTTTCCTGTCTCAAAATACTATTCTTCATAATCTACACCAGTAGTTCTCAACCTTATCTTACCCATGAACCCCTTTTCCCCTTAATTTTTTTTTTGTGGACCCCAATAGACATTGCACAGAAAAAAATAACCTTTCATTAATACAAAACAAAAAAAAAAACAAGGAATTGTATCAAAACAAAAGAAATAGTAAATATATATCTCTTTGACCTTTGTCAATGAGATATTAATTTATATGTCGTATATGTATTCAATATTTTGAATAATTTATATTTTGACTTTTATGCAAGAAATGAGTAATAAACAAATTGACAATATACATACTGTAGAAATTTAATTCTCAATAAAACAATTGTTCTGAAGTAGAATTACCCTATAGACCACTAAATATCACCATGAACCCCAATTTGGTATTTTTTTTCTGTGGACCCCCAGTAATGTTACATGGACCCCAGTTGAGAACCACCAATCTAGACTAAAACAATAATGAAAGAATAATAAATTATTCAATGTGTATTTTGAATTTGTATCTATTTTCTATTATAAATAATAAAAAATGTTAAAAAGAAAAATGCACACATTTCAAAAACAAAACTAATTAAATTCTATGAATATGTTCATGAAATAACTGCTTGATATTTAGATATATAGTTCAAAATTAAAATTAGGTAGTTGTGTGCAAGATATTTATAAACATATTATAAAACTATTTTGAATGAAGTGACTTCATATAGTTAAACATATTTTGTTGTGGCTATTCTAATTAGCTAAGTTTTCAATCAAAATAATATAAAAATTGCCTTAAGTGAATAATGAATCTTTATAGGAGGTTTTCATTTACTGAAAGTATAAATCATATTTTCCTTCAATATCTAAATTTATAACCACTACTAAAATATTTAAAAAGCAGTGTATAAATTAAATTGCATAAATAAATTTATAATTATTATTAGTTTTAAATTTAATTATAATTAAATTTAAAACTATTTTATCTTCTTCATTATAGAACCTATAAGAGATTTAATATTGAAATAATAATGAGCCATAATGTTGGAAAAATTACTATTAAAAACTGATCTGAAATATCACAGAATAAAGTAGGCACTTATTCAGCCTGAAATAACTTCAGATTATTTATGATAGAGTTAACATCATTACAAATCAGGATGAAATTTATATATTTCGTTATAAAGCTTTCTAATCAGAAAATATTTAGGATTTTATAATATAAAAAGCTATTAATATTTTTAATAAAATTTCATGCAATATGGCAGTTTTTCCTAATATAATTCTAGATGATTAAATAAAAATGTTTGATTTTACACAATTTTTCATGAATTTTTAAAGATTACTATAAATTTCGAGACTTCAAAAAGTCTCATTGAAGAATTTTGTTTCTGTTGTTCTTTATCATTTTGCATATTTCCTTGAGAAAAGCTATTGTGAAAAGCAACAATAGCATTTATACATCATCTCTCTCTTAATTTTAAAGTATTGTCAAAGAACAGTGTTTCCACACTTTTCTAGCTGGTTTACAATAAATTTTTCTTCAAGCCCGTTTTCAATGTCTAAATACATCATGCATATATATGAGTTTCCATCATAACTAATTCTTGTTGTATTATAACTAATCTTGTTCCATCATAACTAATTTGTTGTACATATTACAAGGCCTGCACTGAAAGTTTTGGCTATGTTAATTTTATTTCTAAATAATAACACTGAAAAGAAAATATCATAAATCATTATAATCTATGTACCTTTATACATTACAGCCACATTCTTATTAGGGTACTATAAGGATATTAAGCAGGTGAAAATAAAAATATTTTGTTTTGATTTTTGACTAAGAGTTCCTCTCTTTGCTAATCAGAAACTACACTAGTATAATAAGTTCTATTAATAAGGTCCAAATAGACAAAATAGAAATAAAGTAAAACAGTACAGACACAGAGGTAAAAAGAATTAACAGATATTAAGCAATTTGGACTACAGATAAGCAATTAAGCTGCAATCTCAGGTTAAATTTAATACTTAGAAATAATTTAAATTTAACTTAGAATATTCTAATTTATATATATATATATATATACACACACACACATATACAGACACACCATGCTGCACTTCATGCTGGGGTAAAAGCTTAAGTCAAACTGAGAGACATAAAAGAGCCATAGGCTCAGAGTTGTCTCCCAGTCAGCAAGGTGAGTGACCAGTATAGTTATATCCAAATCATTTAACTAGTCTGAAAGCAAAGATTGGATGGGATCTGGATAGCATAACTGGAAATGCATCTGCACAGTAACAGGAGTTGAGGGTTCAAGTTTCAGGTCAAGTCAATCTCTTCTTCCAGAATATTCTAAAATAAACAGTGGCTTAACCACTGTCTATTTTAGAATATTGCTAATCCAAAGTGCTTAATATCTAGTTAAGTAATTAACTAGATATTAAGTAATTAATAATATTAATTAGTCTCATAATAGTCCAACAAGAACCCAGCTGTAATGTTTGATTAGTAATTATATAAAGAACCTTTATTTAGTTTCTGCATTTTGGTCAATGCACATTTGCCATCATTACAGGGATTTGAATATTCTCTTGAATTAAAAATCCATTCAGCCTGTTTACATACCAACAAAGAACAATTTTAATAAATGATTCATAGTTTACTTAATGTTGGCTTCATAGTTTACTTAATGTTGGTCACTCAAGAGTTTCCAGATGTGGAAAATGTATTAAGTATACATTGACATCTGTTGCATATATAATAAAGCAATTCTTATTAAGCATTTTCATCAAGAGATGCCAATAGTCATCTATTCTACTGCCACCTGCAAGTGCACAAAATGAAATGGTGCCATTTTGACTTGACAAATCAATGGATGTAACTTGAACATTTTTGGGCAATAAAGTTTCACAATTTTAAATCTAGTTTGTCCATGTCAGAGTGTTTTATGTTTGCAGGAAGTCTTTCCAGACACTTGTCCATCATGAACACAGGTTTTCGTTTAGTAGTTAGGTTAATTTCAACATGGCAGAATGACTATCTCTTCAGTCCCACAAAACTGCCTCTATAATTGAAATGACATTTTGGGTATATGTAATGTTCTTGAGAACTCCGACTGAAATTGATCAGCCACCAGTCTGCCAAATTACTTGTCCTTTTGAAAAACATCAATTTTAGATGAGTCACAATCTTTTTCTTCAAAAGAACAAAAAAGTCGCAGCCATTTTGATTCTTTTAAAATTTAAAAGGCAGCTACATTCTATTTATAGAACTGTTTTTCCAATTTGTATTTCCTGAGGAAGGCTGATAAATTTAGTGACTGAAAACGTTGGAGGTGTATTTTTGACTTTTATTTGCTAGAAATTTTGGATTTAGGTGTGATTTGCAAATCTTTTTCTCATTGTGGACTGGTAAAATTATGGATAATTTCACATGGACCAAGTAATTATATGCAACTATAAATTATGCTTATTTATTAAGCTTATATATGCTTATTTAGAGTTACCATATGTAATAAAGTATGTACAGTAACTCTATATTACTATTTAAAATGTCACCTGTAAGCAACTGTTCCAGCTTCAGTATAGTCAAATTTTTTTCTGTGGATCAGTGAAATTTTTTCAGTAGTTGAAAAACAATGATCTAAATACTATCTTTGAGATATTTTCAACAATTTCTGTACAGCACAGCCAACTTATAGCAGGAATGAGGCAAGATACAAGACAATTTGCATTACTTCTTTTATAATACTCATCCTTATTTGCATATTCTCTGCTATAAATGATTTTTATGCACATTTTCTTTTACAATATCATCAAAATGTCATATATCTAGTTTCATTGCATTTCCATTAATGCACTACTTATTTAGTTCTCCATGTTATCCTTTAATTTTGCACACCAGTGTACTTGTAAATTAACTTTAATAATGGTTATTTGAAATTTACAGAAAGATTTTTAAACTAATTGAAAAAGTTAGTTAAAATTTTAAAAAATAAAATAATTTATAAAATAATACTTTAAATATATACTTGTTATAGGAAATATATTTTGTGAAATATTTCATAGAAGTATTTTTATAATTTGTAAACACAAAATTCAATTACTGAATATTGTTAACAAGAAGAAAAAATAAATAAATAAATAAATAATACACTTACTTTAATGGTTGTTGTATTTCTACTCTCATATTTACATTCACAGCGTGGACAAAATTCTTTTTCTTTCCCTCTCACATCAATACCAACTTGAGGCAAGATCACTTCATCACAATTACTAAAAATTTATTTAAAATAATAATATAAATAAAAAGTTTTAATATATTAATAATAAAGATTGTATTCCTGTAATACACTTTGTATGTTAGGTTTAGATCTCGATATGATTATATGGTATGATTAAAGATGTCATTAACATAGCATATGTATAATAAATATTTGACTTAATTTTATTTAAAAGTTTGCTTTCTAATGCCCTCACTATTATTTCACATAAGTTGTCTGAAAGGGGGCTATCCATTGAAACACCTCTGTTTTGTAGATAAGTATTTTTTTTTTTTTTTTTTAAACTCTTTCTGCCCTGTGGGCACTAACAGGGCCTCTTTTAGCAAGCCTATTATGGGTTTGGCCAGGCCCATAATGGGGATACTGGGTGGCAAGGGATAAGACCCGATATATCCAAACAGACCACCTCCCAAAAAATTCCTGGGGACTTTTCGACCTGTTCAAATTTGATCCCAGGTCCCCCAGAGCGGGAGGCTGCCACCTTGACTACTCGGCCATCCAGCCACACAAGTTTGGTTGTTAAAGGTGAAGAATTGTATGTAACACATTAGGTGTGCTAATTCTACAAGCTGTCAGTGGTAAGCAAGTGAGGGCAGTACTTTCTGAAAGAGGAAGTCTCAGAGAGCACAGAAGCTTTGACAACTATATCTAAGGCAATCTATATTAGATAACCCCTAAAAAACATAGTACCAACCAATAATACATGCAATAATAGCAATTTGCATCTCGCCAAATAAATTAATTTTTCAGTTTTCAGTTTTTCAATCATATTATTTATTAGAGTCTTTTTAATATTTTTATTTGTAATTATTCATTTAATTTGTTAAACTATGTTAATCTTTGAATTGATATATATTATATTTACATAAAGATAATTACATCAAAGAAAAATGGCATTATTCCAAACTTTGAACCTGCTATAGACATTTGATATAGAATCCACTTAACCTGATGCAAGCCACTAAATGTAGCTGAAAATGTTTTTTTAATCTGTGAATGCTGGAAAGTAGAAGGTGTGAATTTTAGTATTTAGAAGATAGTTCCAGCTTTAGAATTAACAAGTTAAAACATTAAAAATTTATGAATTGTTTTTTATATATCACGATCTATAAAATATGTGTCATATCTATAAAAATTTATTAAAAAATAATTTATTGTATATATGAACAATTAATACAAAAATATAAAAACTCACTACTTCAATGGAGGTACATTTCCAATGTAAAATTTGCGATCAGATTTTGAACCATTAATCACTTCAGGAGTTATACAGACACATTTACAACGAACATCTTCATACTGACACTAAAAATATTATTGACAATAGTTAGTTTATAATTCAAATAAAGTTTAATTTTTTTTATGTCAAAAATACAATTTTTCAAAATATAAATAGCACTATCAACATGTAAAATTTAAAACTTTTAAATTCCATTAAATACAGGGTAATTCAAAAGTCACAGAAATTTTAAAAATTAATAACTCACAAACTATTTACAGTAAGATGGTGCAGTTTTCACAGAAATGCTTAGAAAGAAGCGAGATTTTTTTGTGTAATAAAAATTTTAGTACCAAAATAGTTACATTTTTTCCTATAGATGGTGCTTGATAAGATTACATAATTTGTGTAGTTGTTACTAGAGCTTACACTAAGAACATTTTTATTTTTTTATTCTCATTTTAACAAATTTACAAATGCTACAGCAACATCTATGGCAAGAAATGTAACTATTTTGGTACTAAAATTTTTATTACACCTAAAAAATCTCACTTCTTTCTAAGCATTTCTGTGAAAATCGCATCATCTTACTGTAAATAGTTTGAGAGTTATTAATTTTTTAAAATTTCTCAGACTTTTGAATCACCCTGTATTTTAAATTATTTAAAAAAATTTCTATTATGTAAAATAACATTAAGAAAAACTTGTAAAAATGAATAAACTTCAACTATTTACAAATAATTATATTTAAAATACTATATTATATACTTGCAATTAAAAACACATGGAAAGCTAACTTTCTGAATTTCTTTATATAAACAGATTATCTGTTTGTCAACTTTTAATTTTCACTTGAAAATAATTATTACTAGAAAAAGAATATAAACTATTTCTAAGATCAAACTACAATAAGATAATAAACAAATATTTACTGTGACATCATCATAATGCTGAGCTGCAATTTCTAATCATATTTTTACTTAATTTAAAATATATGTTCTCCACCTCAAATTAATAATGGTTTGTTCCTGTATATCATACTTTTCTTTTAACAATAGATCCATTCAATCATCTATTAACTGTTTTCAGCAGAAAATTTTTGAAATGAAATAATGAGTCTTCCAATTGGCTTCCAATATATAATTAATCGGGGTTTCCTGCCCCTAATCTTTCCCTAATCTAATATCAACAGCTAGATAGATGAAATCTGATCTATCAGATTTCATCTATCTAGCTGTTCTTGAGATTAAGGAAAGACAGACAGATGACTGTGAGAATTTATAGGTCTACAATTTTTTCAAATTGCAGCTGAATAATAAGATAAGTTATAATACAATGCTGTAAAATAAAATATTGTTTACAAAAAGGTAGAAATATTGACAGATGCTGAAAATAATAAGGAAACAAAATTTAATAAATCATGAGTCAATTCTTTTGAAAGTTAATTTCAGAAGGATTGTCTTCCTTCTGTTTTCCTACATACATACATGAAAGACATTGGCCATACACAAGGTGTTTAGCCGGTGGAAAAGAGGGTAAGGGAAAGAAGGAGGGAGAGGAGATATACAGTAGAAAAAAGTAGAATTCCTCTGAACGTATATTAATAATAAAGATTGTATTCCTGTAATACACTTTGTATGTTAGGTTTAGATCTCGATATGATTATATGGTATGATTAAAGATGTCATTAACATAGCATATGTATAATAAATATTTGACTTAATTTTATTTAAAAGTTTGCTTTCTAATGCCCTCACTATTATTTCACATAAGTTGTCTGAAAGGGGGCTATCCATTGAAACACCTCTGTTTTGTAGATAAGTATTTTTTTTTTTTTTTTTTAAACTCTTTCTGCCCTGTGGGCACTAACACGGCCTCTTTTAGCAAGCCTATTATGGGTTTGGCCAGGCCCATAATGGGGATACTGGGTGGCAAGGGATAAGACCCGATATATCCAAACAGACCACCTCCCAAAAAATTCCTGGGGACTTTTCGACCTGTTCAAATTTGATCCCAGGNCAATAAATTACTAGATTATTGAGAAGACAGGAAAATTAGCCATAGATTAACTCATAACAGAGGCATAGTTGAATTATGTGCAAAAATAAGTGATGACTTTCTATAAACAGGTAAGTGATTTCAAATTGCACTTTACAAAAGAAACAAGACTGACGTTTTTCAAAGTGAAGAGATTTGACAGACACATAATAAATACAAATTATACCAGAAAAGCAAACAAAAAGTTTCTCATGAGAGTGAGGCGTTTAGTAACACTGATCAAATGTTACCAATCAATTCATCATGTACTTCACTAACTCTCAAAAATAGTGTCTGTTAAACTGCTTAAGTGTTGTGATACCTGAAAATGTCTCACACCACAGAACATAATTTTATCTGTACCTAACTCCATTTTGTAAAGGTTACTAAAAATTATGATTACATAAAAATATCCAAACCATCCATACCTACAAAAGTTGTGTACATGTACAAACTTTATAATAAATGACAGTCTATCATAAAAAGAGAGTTGTTGTAACAAAATATCTGAGAAAAGATTTCAAGACATTCAATGAAACTCATGAAATTTTTAAAATCATTTAACTCAAGAGACTAGATTTTGTTCCAGTTATATTTATAGAGCTACAAAAATAAATTTCAATTACCGGTATTTGAACACTTTTATTTTTTGTATTTAGGTTTTAAATGTTATCCCTAGAATCTGTAATAGTGGCAACTCATGGCTATCTAATATGGGAATTCTGAGTAACACTAGTGACTAGAATTGATATTGGGGACCCAAGTTAGAATGTGCAAACTTGCATTCACTCCTGTACTGTACTACTATGGATGTAACCACTAGTGCTGTGAATGGAGAGTAAACTTTTGGATACTGCATACATTCATAAGTGTGTTTAACATAATCAAGTATTTTTTCTATACTTAAATAAATAAGAAAAATCAAATATTTACAAAGAGAAGAGGCTCCTCTCTGGTTACACTACTGCTGAGTAACAGCTTTTGTTTTACATAAACAACATACAGTTGAACCTATCTCAAAATTTATTTTTCCCCAGCATTTTCAGCCTAAATTCAATATATTTTACATGTTTATCTCAAATAATTTTCTCCCAAAACCTCTCTAGCTCAAATTATGAAGTAAAGTGTCAATTGCAAATTCAAAGCTCATTTTGATAGCATAAACTGTAGTTGATATCTCTTACAATATAATAAATAGTTGCAATTAATGCTGCTTTTATCCAATTGGCTATGAGTTTGGCTTGCATCTTATTAATTGAAGAAAGTCAGGCATCAGCTACTGACAAACTATTTCTGTTAAAGTATGTCAAAATGTTTTATTTATACCTAATACAGGTATGCACTGTATTTGCTATTATATTAAATTAATAAAATACCGTATCTCAAATCAAACTTATTACTGTTTATTGCATAACAACATCTGCATCTTGAAATCTGTTTATCTGAAATTGTTTTTCTTGTTCCTGTGAGATTTGAAATACAGGTTCAACTGTATGTATGTATGTATGTATGTATGTATGTATATATACAGTATACAATATTTCCTAGAATAAAAACCCAATTCAAATAAACCCCAAGGAATAAAGGTTCTGTTAAAAATAAACCCCAGGTTGAAAAGCATGGAAAACATATTGAAGCACTTCATTATAGTTTGGAATGAAAAAATAAGGAATTTAACTAAATTTCTACTACAGTTGATTCTGTTTAATTGGGCCACCAGTTAATTGGGTCTGCCACTTTATTGGGCCAAATCTCAAAGAATGGAAACCAAACTAATAAATTAATAAATAATTTAAACACTTAATTGGGACAGTAACAAAAAAGGAATTTAGCAATTTTTGATATAATTTAGGAATCTTCCAAAAATATGTCAACACTATGTACTGTACACTAGCATCTGTAGGCCTAACAGTTAGAGGAGACAAAGCAATTTTGTCTTTTGCTGGGGCAGTTTGGTTTTTCCAGAGGGGTCAGCATAGTGAAACCTATCACACTGGGATACCGTCTGAGGCAGACCTAAATGCAAACTACTAATCCTGCTCCAGATTGGACCAGACAATCCCCTTAAAAGCAAAGAGACAAAGACCTCCAACAATTTTTTGAGGCCTCTTGACCAAGTTGGAAGATAGCTAGAGTTCCCTTGGAAGGTGTTGTGTGGATGATTATGTCTAGACTCGATTGTTAGGACCAGCAACCGGACTGGCAGATTCTAAGGACACTTTCACCGAAACAGCTAATCGCCAAGTAAAGGTAACTGTTCAAAAAAAGGCTGTAAGGTGACTTTTGGATAAACCTGGACATGTTCTAACTAAAAAGGGAGAAAGGAAATATCGTTCAATCAGGAACAGATCAAATGATCGACCCTTGTATGTCACTATTAATATTTGGTAACACTAGCATGATGCAAATCAGTTATCTATTGTCATGAGTCAGGCAAATTTATAGTTTTTGTATTACCTATGTATTACATATTTTATTTCAGAATTTATTATTAGTTTGTTTAATTGGGATAGTCACTTAATTGGGCCAAATGGATTAGTCCCAACAAGTCCCAATTAAGCAGAATTGACTGTATTTTAAACTCTCCACTGTTTGACAGAACTTTCTATTTCAAGGTTCACAGGAATATTTTTGGAAATAAAATTATAAATGTTGTTAAATATTGAGCATGAGAAACTCACAATCAAATTCATAAGTTGAGAGCTTACCAACCAAACAGTAATTAAGAAAAATTGGAAAGAGATAGTAGCGAGGTTGCAGCAGAAGTTCTCAATGTGAAAATGTAAGCGTCGGATGTTCAGTGCCACCTTCCTGTAAGCCTAGAAGTTTGACAATGGCATTTGGAACATCAATGGAATTGTGCTCAACATTCCAAATGCCACTGTCAAACTTCTAGTCTTATAGGAAGGTGGCACTGAATGTCCACCGTTCACATTTTAGAGATGAAAACTTTGGCTGCAACCTTGCTAGTGAGTTTGAACTGAAGATGGTAGTCAAGATCTTGATTTCAACAATGACATTAAAACAGACAAATTACAACCAATTTGGAAGATGCTGAACTATGAAAACTATATGTAATAATTTACATAATAAAAATCAAGACATTATTTTTCTTTCTGAATGCTCCTGTTCTGAAGTGCTTATCACAAGCTGTCACCAGTCTGCAGTAAATAAATATTCAAGAACTTAAGTATTTCTCATGTGGTTTAGCATAACAACTTAGCTTTTAGCATTGCAAAATCTGACTCATGATGTCACCAAACTCTAGAGCAGGGATGGACAACCTTTTTCTATGTAAGGGCTGCATTTTGAAACTTTTGAAATGACGTGGGCCACGTAACAGAAAAAAGAGAAGAAAAATACTGGCAAATCACAATTATTTATTCATATATAATTATAAATTATCATAAGTACACTTAATTTAGCTTCTGGAACTGATGTAAATGTAATATATCTAAAATTATTTAGTTAAATATTAGTCACCGCTAGATTTAAATTAGTTTTGATGTGTCTGTTAGCTGGTTTCTTGTTTTAATTTTTACTAAATTCATTGCAGGAAAAACTATTCACATACATAAGTTGTAGAAAATAACATTTGAATTTTGCTGCATACTTCCTTAAGCTGGGAAATCGATATATTTATTCATATTTTATGTGACGAGGGCCGTAAAAAATATTAATGCACGCCGCAGATTGCCCATCTCTACTCTAGAGTAAGCTTTTCACTTGTTCTTCCAATATGTGTATATGCACATGTAGCTGTATAATAAAGTTAAATTGGTCTCAATAACTGACTAATTTGTCCACCTATTCATATCACAAGTTTCAGTACAAACAGACTACTTACAAAAATATAAATAGTGCATTCAAAAATGGTACAAGCATCAAGACCAAAGCAAAATCTGAAATCAAATATTTTAGATCATTTTAGATGTGTGTACATTATTTGACATATGATATTTTTCAGAAATTAAAAGGTTTCAGAAAAATATATTACTTGTAAAATTACTGTTTTATAGCAATTATTGATAATATAACCAAACAGCCAAATTGGAAGGCACTTGTCATCCAATTTAGTTTCTCTACATTTGCTAAAATTTTTGGCTTACAAAATTAAAGTCTTGCATATAAAAGAAAATTTATTATTTAACTCTGTTTTAAAAAAAATTATTTTATATTTATTATTTCAAGTCACTCCAAGTTCAAATCATTTACACTAGAAAAATATTCTAGAATTAGATTTAATAAATTTCAGAAACAATTTGCAACTATTTATAAAAACCTTTCTTTTATTCACTTGCTTCTTGTAGAAAATTGTTTGTTGCTATCCAACATCTGCAAATTACACATTATCTGAATAATTGGGAAAAAAAATTCATTTTAAAAAATGCTGTAGTTTTTCAGTTACTTTTACTTCAGTTCCTCTCTGAAACATTTGTTTCTAGCTCAATTTTTTCTGGCAACTATAACCTCAGATATGTTTGATATTTTTATATAGAAACACAAAAGAAAATATGCATGATCATAATTCAGTTAACTTAACGTGAACATTCTTTTAAAAAAGTACTATAATAAAAGACAGTGAAAGCAAAATCAAAATGGGAAAAAGCTAACAAATTTTAGTAATGCAATAACAAGCAGATAGGACCACCAAGAAGCTGACAACTGCCAGCTCTGCTATATACATGTAACACTGCATGTTAATCAAGGGATATAAAATATACAAAAAAAACTGAGAAAATAAAAAAGTGAATTCCTGATGATAATATTGACTCATATACAAAATTAAAAAGTTATTTTTAAGTAAAGTTATAAACGCTCTGCTCAAAGATATTGGAATTATATGAAAAATTAGTCCAATGAATAGTGGAGCATTCAGGATTTAATCTTGGGGATTTAATTACAAATCATAATTCATAAGTAGTATGAAAATAGAAGACACAAAACAATATAAATAAAAACAAAAACAAATTCTAATCAGAAAAAGATTTTTGAAAATTTTTCTTGTTTTTTCTTTTGAGGGTGCCAGGACTCCTTGGCCCCCCTCTGGGTGCTCCACTGCCAATGCATGTCCTGTTTTGACATTTTCCCCAATACTCTCTCTTGCAATAAGGTTTCTATTGTTATATTTTCTACTTAACCACAAGTAGTAATCCAAAAGTTGCAATTTGTAATCTTTTGCTCAATCTAGCTACTCCGCTCGTGTCTATCCAATAGCGGAACACAGTAACTACAGAATTCTGGACACGAATGATCCGGACGTAACACAAGCCTATCTATGGACAACACCACATATCAACCGTCATCACCTACCCAAATGTAAAAACATTAATGAAGATTTTTCAAAAACTAAATTTAATTTTAAAAGTTAAAATGATAAAAAAGCTTAAATTACATAAAAATGCAATATTTATAATATGAATAGCTTTCTGATTACTACCGAAAAAGAAAATTGATAATTAATATTAGACAATGATCTAAATTAAATACTAATAATGTCAGTAGCTTAATGCAGATCTATTATACAGCTTAATGCTTCTTTCTGCAGACATCTAGACCGATGGTTCCCAAAGTGGATAGCAAATAAATCTAGGGAAGCAAAAAGAAGCAAGCGAGCATCAGGGAGTGTCAGAGGCAGGGACCAAACTGTGACAATAGGCCAAGGTCAGAGTCGTTGGCCACGTTTGGCAGACTCGACAGTTTTGGAGCCGCCAAGTATTTTTCTGCCAAACGCCCTCTATGGGGGCACCATTTCAGAACACATTTGATATTTTGACGTTGCATTTAGTAGCGTCTTTCATTTATGCTACCGACTGACGATGTCTACTTTTTGTTTTGACACAAACACCTCACTGTTTGGCAGACATAACCGCGTAACGGCCATCGACAGAAACACCTTTACTGGATACAGCCATCAATAACCTTTTCCTTTCCTCCATTAAAACGCGTACAAGAAACATTGCATTTAACAGTTTTCAGATGTGGAGAACAATATAGGGTAAGGATACAAAGAGGAGATCGACAGAAAAGTTTTTCTAACATTACTTCCAGGCCTTTCTCCCACCAGGGAAAATGGCTTAGGGGGCGTTGGGTGAACTTTATGGACTTTATGGAACGAAGGATATCACCGATCTAGACGAAAAACCATTTCATCGAAGTTTATAACGTCAAAAACCTTAGATACGTCGACACTTCAATTAACGGGTTTTAATATTTATAAATTGTATTTTAACGTTACGAATAATAATAAGCGAGAAATGCCTAACTTACCAATACGCAAGAGAAGAAAGTAAAGAGAAAACAGACGATAACAAAACCAGTGCCAGACGACATCTTCGATCAGGCTTAGTGGGATTTCCCGATAACGAAATAAACCGAAATTTATTTCTCTAATAACTCGACATTTATTGTAAATTTGGAAGCGTTTAAAAGTCCAAATTGTTAATTATTTAAATTTGAAAACCTAAATATATTCAGGAATTTTATATATGCAAACGTTCACAAAATTTTACTATGGTAACGTAAAATGCGATACGGATTATAATTCCGTTATATATATATATATTTTAAATTAATGTAAATAGAAATATTAACGTGATAAAATATTAAATTATATTAGATTAATGTAATATAATTTTATTATATTAGATTAATTTAAAAATAATATTTTATAATTGCGTATCACATTTTATTAGATTTCTATGGCGGCTTCCACAAATCGTCTGGCGTTAGCACGATTTTGAATTATTCATTTTACTCAGTATTTATTATCTTTTTAAAAGACGAGTTTGAACTTATCGAATATTTTTTTAGAATTATAAGATGACGGCTACGATTCCGGCAGTTGTCGATAATCACTTGGATGTCGTTCAACATTTTCCTGGTGAGAAATTTTGTATTGTCGCAGCATGTGCATGCTATTTTGTCGTAGATTTATTCGATTTATTTAAATAGTCACCGTAAATTGAAACGGATAAATTAATGCTTTAACGGATTTTGGTGTGTTAGAAATTATAAAAATTAATAATGTTTTTTTTTAAGTTTAGGTAATATTTTCTAATGGAAAAAAACAAAGCTAATTGTATTACTCTACAGTACCTTTCCAGTGTAGTTTTTCTTGATATAAAGGAAAGATAGTAAAACTATAGGAAAAGATTAAATACACCAATGGCAAAATATGTTTAAAGGTTCAGGAAAACGATTTAACTGATGTACTGTACATATTCTGCTTTACAAAAACTATTTTCGGCGGACTCGACAGTTCCAGGCCGTCAAGTGCTTTTCTGCCAAACATTGTTTATGGTGGTGTGCATTTGGTACTTTGACATCGTATTTAGTGGTGTCTTTCGTTCACGCTACCTATTGCTACTCAAACCCCACCGACAATGGCCACTTTTTGTTCCGATGCATACGTCGCTTGTTGTTCAGCAGACATCACTCGTGGCGGCTACTGATTGAAATGCCTTTGCTTGGTTACGACCATTGACTCTGCTGAACGCAACCGTTGTGTGTATGGTATGTGATGTCCCAATACTGCAAAAGTATCAATGTGACAATGTATAAAATATGTATGATAATTTTTTTATACTGTACTTTGTTTTATTCTTTATGTGTTGTTTGTTTTACAAAGAAAAACAGAAAATTTTTATTTATTAATTATGTTGAAACCGACTGACATTGTTTAGGGAGTCCTGATACCACAAAAGTACTGATACAAATATCATGAGTGGCTTTAAAGTATTGCTACTGGCAGTATTGGCATTAGGTATTGAAACTGGAAATCTTGCCGGCTGTCGCCGAAACATTTTTTGTAATTGAAAGTTTGCCCACTGGTGGCCGAGTGGTTCCATTCCCCGAACACTGGGAGTCTGGTCATGAGTTTGCACCTTACCCGGACGGGCTGGCTGCTTGGAGTTTTCTGGGTTTTCTCAACATCTGTAACATCCAAAAAAGGTCCGGTTACCATTATGAAGACCTTCCAGAAGGTATCCCCTAGGCAGATCACCTAAGTGTAGCATTCATAATTTAATAAAACTAACAAACAACGTTTTAATTTTAACATAACATGCTTTATTCTAGTTAATTATTATTAACAAATTATTAAAACTACTGATTTCTAATATAAACTAAATGTTACTGATACCATATTGGTTTGTAAATTGTTTAATTAATAAAAGTATTAAAATGGAACAGATATAACGATAAGTAAAGGTTTCTTACGATAATGAGAATGATGGTCTCGATAAGACGTGATAAAGATTGCTGGTATCGCTATTGGAAGAAGAAATCTTTACTGTGTCAGTTGATTTGAGATTATAATATATTTTCCAGTTTTTAAATAATTGGCAAATTATTTATAAATAGTAGTCTGAACTCTTAAGCATACTGTATATAGATTCTGAAAATGAAATTTGGTATAATAAATTTATTGATTTTTGGTTGATAATATTTACTATATAAATTTATTGATTTTTGGTTGATAATATTTACTATATAAATTTATTGATTTTTGGTCGTTAATATTTACTATATAAGTTTGAGTTAATTGAAAATAATGTAAGATTTGGTTTTGATTTTGGCTGAAACTGACTTTAAAACCCAAATTTGGTTTTGTTTTGGATTAGGCTGAAAAATCCAATTTTGATTGGATCTTACCTGTCTGAAAAATGTAATGATACCAGATCCAATACCCAAGAAGTATCGATACCTGTATCAGTTCAAAATATCGAGTACGCAAATAATACGCTGTATTGAAGGAAAGTATTGATGTAGTATAAGTATTGGCAGTTTCAGAACTTCCATAGTAATATGAAAAAATTTAGTTCTCCTTTAATTAATGATAAAATTTTCTATATACAGTAAGACCCCACTTAATGCTGATTCGATAAAACGTGGTCTGCTCAAAGCCTAAAAAATGCTCAAAATTTACACTGATTCAAATTAACATGGCATATCATTGATTCGTATATAATATGATTATTCCCAAACATGAACCAATCAGCAAAAGGTGGCAATTCGTTGTAGCACTGAATTTCCCTTAAATCTGTGTTTGTTTTGTGCAATTTTGGAAAAATATGCCATCACAGATGCCATAGGAAATATCGACTTTGCTTGGCAAGAATTAACTGATAAATGCATGAACAGAGTGTGGAAGAAGTTATGGCTGAAGGTATCCAAGAATTCTCAACAAGAGCCTATCACTGTATCATTAGGTTGACCAAATTGTCAACCTAATTGATACACAAGACAGAGATGTAGACAAGCAGGATATTGAAGAGTTAAGCACGATTTTGAATTATTCATTTTACTCAGTATTTATTATCTTTTTAAAAGACGAGTTTGAACTTATCGAATATTTTTTTAGAATTATAAGATGACGGCTACGATTCCGGCAGTTGTCGATAATCACTTGGATGTCGTTCAACATTTTCCTGGTGAGAAATTTTGTATTGTCGCAGCATGTGCATGCTATTTTGTCGTAGATTTATTCGATTTNCATGAACAAAGTGTGGAAGAAGTTATGGCTGAAGGTATCCAAGAATTCTCAACAAGAGCCTATCGCTGTATCATTAGGTTGACCAAATTGTCAACCTAATTGATACACAAGACAGAGATGTAGACAAGCAGGATATTGAAGAGTTACTGCAGGTTTCTGGTGAGAGCCTTACCAATGGTGATCTTCAGGAACTGGCAAAACATGTAGAACTGGAAAATAAAGATTCTGAATACGAAGTACCCAAAGAACTTGCTACAGATTTCTTTAGTAAAAATTTGGTAACAATAACTGAAACCATTGGTCAAATTGTAGCAAATAATTCAGATTTTGAAAGGAGTGCAAAAGCAAAAAGAGGTGTTTTGGATACAATCTTCTGCTACCAACATTTGCTTAAGAAAAGAAAAAAGCGACGAATGAAACTACATGACTTTATCGCAAGAAACAAGAATTTCAGAAAAGTCAGGACCTTCATCACAAAAAATAAACTTTACATTTCTGTGTGCATATGTTTTTGTGTTACTTAACATATATTATTATGCAAATTAATATAAAAATTACTTAAAATTATAGTAAAATTTGTTTATTTTTGGTCGCATATTCTTCTTTCCCTATTTACTGTATGTTAAAATGACATCGTTTAATGCTGTTTCACTTAACGCTTTGTTGTGTAAGAACACATCCTGCATTAAGCAGGGTAATTTGATTATTGTTAACCCGTTCCAGAAAGAAACAGTTTTTGTAGCACGGTTGGAGATGCATGGTTTTTAAGACTGCTGGATTGTTGTTATTGCTATTGTATTTTAAATTAAATAGAATTTAATTTTAAATATATAAACAACATTGCTATCGGCTATAAAGAATATTGCATGTTATTCCCAGCTTGGAGGGCATTGTTTGAAACTTATTATTACTTTTTACATCCCAATGCAACCATGTGATTGCCAACTTCCAATCAGGCATTATTCTTTTTATATTTTAAATTATAACATTCCATTTCATGTTTCATTCTGAATCTGTTTTTTCTTTTTAATCTGAAGATGGTTGCTTAAGGCAAATGAAAACATTTGTTTTCTTGGCACTTATGGGTTAAGAGGACGCCAGTCGGAAATAGCGTTTTCTCCGAATAATGCAATTTTTTATTTGTCAAATTTAATAAAATTGTTAAATCAAACAATAAATTACGATTTATAAAGATATAACAAAATTTCACAAACTGTAATAATAAACCACTTGAATATACAAATTGTTTTGTAGTGNTAATAATGTCAGTAGCTTAATGCAGATCTATTATATAGCTTAATGCTTCTTTCTGCAGACATCTAGACCGATGGTTCCCGAAGTGGATAGCAAGTAAATCTAAGGGAGCAAAAAGAAGCAAGCGAGCATCAGGGAGTGTCAGAGGCAGGGACCAAACTGTGACTATAGGCCAAGGTCAGAGTCGTTGGCCACGTTTGGCAGACTCGACAGTTTTGGAGCCGCCAAGTATTTTTCTGCCAAACGCCCTCTATGGGGGCACCATTTCAGAACACATTTGATATTTTGACGTTGCATTTAGTAGCGTCTTTCATTTATGCTACCGACTGACGATGTCTACTTTTTGTTTTGACACAAACACCTCACTGTTTGGCAGACATAACCGCGTAACGGCCATTGACAGAAACACCTTTACTGGATACAGCCATCAATAACCTTTTCCTTTCCTCCATTAAAACGCGTACAAGAAACATTGCATTTAACAGTTTTCAGATGTGGAGAACAATATAGGGTAAGGATACAAAGAGGAGATCGACAGAAAAGTTTTTCTAACATTACTTCCAGGCCTTTCTCCCACCAGGGAAAATGGCTTAGGGGGCGTTGGGTGAACTTTATGGAACGAAGGATATCACCGATCTAGACGAAAGACAAAACACCATTTCATCGAAGTTTATAACGTCAAAAACCTTAGATACGTCGACACTTCAATTAACGGGTTTTAATATTTATAAATTGTATTTTAACGTTACGAATAATAATAAGCGAGAAATGCCTAACTTACCAATACGCAAGAGAAGAAAGTAAAGAGAAAACAGACGATAACAAAACCAGTGCCAGACGACATCTTCGATCAGGCTTAGCGGGGTTTCCCGATAACGAAATAAACCGAAATTTATTTCTCTAATAACTCGACATTTATTGTAAATTTGGAAGCGTTTAAAAGTCCAAATTGTTAATTATTTAAATTTGAAAACCTAAATATATTCAGGAATTTTATATATGCAAACGTTCACAAAATTTTACTATGGTAACGTAAAATGCGATACGGATTATAATTCCGTTATATATATATATATTTTAAATTAATGTAAATAGAAATATTAACGTGATAAAATATTAAATTATATTAGATTAATGTAATATAATTTTATTATATTAGATTAATTTAAAAATAATATTTTATAATTGCGTATCACATTTTATTAGATTTCTATGGCGGCTTCCACAAATCGTCTGGCGTTAGCACGATTTTGAATTATTCATTTTACTCAGTATTTATTATCTTTTTAAAAGACGAGTTTGAACTTATCGAATATTTTTTTAGAATTATAAGATGACGGCTACGATTCCGGCAGTTGTCGATAATCACTTGGATGTCGTTCAACATTTTCCTGGTGAGAAATTTTGTATTGTCGCAGCATGTGCATGCTATTTTGTCGTAGATTTATTCGATTTTTTTAAATAGTCACCGTAAATTGAAACGGATAAATTAATGCTTTAACGGATTTTGGTGTGTTAGAAATTATAAAAATTAATAATGTTTTTTTTAAAGTTTAGGTAATATTTTCTAATGGGAAAAAAATAAAGCTAATTGTATGTACTCTACAGTACCTTTCCAGTGTAGTTTTTCTTGATATAAAGGAAAGATAGTAAAACTATAGGAAAAAATTAAATACACCAATGGCAAAATATGTTTAAAGGTTCAGGAAAACGATTTAACTGATGTACTGTACATATTCTGCTTTACAAAAACTATTTTTGGCGGACTCGACAGTTCCAGGCCGTCAAGTGCTTTTCTGCCAAACATTGTTTATGGTGGTGTGCATTTGGTACTTTGACATCGTATTTAGTGGTGTCTTTCGTTCACGCTACCTATTGCTACTCAAACCCCACCGACAATGGCCACTTTTTGTTCCGATGCATACGTCGCTTGTTGTTCAGCAGACATCACTCTTGACGGCTACTGATTGAAATGCCTTTGCTTGGTTACGACCATTGACTCTGCCGAACGCAACCGTTGTGTGTATGGTATGTGATGTCCCAATACTGCAAAAGTATCAATGTGACAATGTATAAAATATGTATGATAATTTTTTTATACTGTACTTTGTTTTATTCTTTATGTGTTGTTTGTTTTACAAAGAAAAACAGAAAATTTTTATTTATTAATTATGTTGAAACCGACTGACATTGTTTAGGGAGTCCTGATACCACAAAAGTACTGATACAAATATCATGAGTGGCTTTAAAGTATTGCTACTGGCAGTATTGGCATTAGGTATTGAAACTGGAAATCTTGCCGGCTGTCGCCGAAACATTTTTTGTAATTGAAAGTTTGCCCACTGGTGGCCGAGCGGTTCCATTCCCCGAACACTGGGAGTCTGGTCACGAGTTTGCACCTTACCCGGACGGGCTGGCTGCTTGGAGTTTTCTGGGTTTTCTCAACATCTGTAACATCCAAAAAAGGTCCGGTTACCATTATGAAGACCTTCCAGAAGGTATCCCCTAGGCAGATCACCTAAGTGTAGCATTCATAATTTAATAAAACTAACAAACAACGTTTTAATTTTAACATAACATGCTTTATTCTAGTTAATTATTATTAACAAATTATTAAAACTACTGATTTCTAATATAAACTAAATGTTACTGATACCGTATTGGTTTGTAAATTGTTTAATTAATAAAAGTATTAAAATGGAACAGATATAACTATAAGTAAAGGTTTCTTACGATAATGAGAATGATGGTCTCGATAAGACGTGATAAAGATTGCTGGTATCGCTATTGGAAGAAGAAATCTTTACTGTGTCAGTTGATTTGAGATTATAATATATTTTCCAGTTTTTAAATAATTGGCAAATTATTTATAAATAGTAGTCTGAACTCTTAAGCATACTGTATATAGATTCTGAAAATGAAATTTGGTATAATAAATTTATTGATTTTTGGTTGATAATATTTACTATATAAATTTATTGATTTTTGGTCGTTAATATTTACTATATAAGTTTGAGTTAATTGACAATAATGTAAGATTTGGTTTTGATTTTGGCTGAAACTGACTTTAAAACCCAAATTTGGTTTTGTTTCGGATTAGGCTGAAAAATCCAATTTTGATTGGATCTTACCTGTCTGAAAAATGTAATGATACCAGATCCAATACCCAAGAAGTATCGATACCTGTATTAGTTCAAAATATCGAGTACGCAAATAATACGCTGTATTGAAGGAAAGTATTGATGTAGTATAAGTATTGGCAGTTTCAGAACTTCCATAGTAATATGAAAAAATTTAGTTCTCCTTTAATTAATGATAAAATTTTCTATATACAGTAAGACCCCACTTAATGCTGATTCGATAAAACGTGGTCTGCTCAAAGCCTAAAAAATGCTCAAAATTTACACTGATTCAAATTAACATGGCATATCATTGATTCGTATATAATATGATTATTCCCAAACATGAACCAATCAGCAAAAGGTGGCAATTCGTTGTAGCACTGAATTTCCCTTAAATCTGTGTTTGTTTTGTGCAATTTTGGAAAAATATGCCATCACAGATGCCATAGGAAATATCGACTTTGCTTGGCAAGAATTAACTGATAAATGCATGAACAGAGTGTGGAAGAAGTTATGGCTGAAGGTATCCAAGAATTCTCAACAAGAGCCTATCACTGTATCATTAGGTTGACCAAATTGTCAACCTAATTGATACACAAGACAGAGATGTAGACAAGCAGGATATTGAAGAGTTACTGCAGGTTTCTGGTGAGAGCCTTACCAATGGTGATCTTCAGGAACTGGCAAAACATGTAGAACTGGAAAATAAAGATTCTGAATACGAAGTACCCAAAGAACTTGCTACAGATTTCTTTAGTAAAAATTTGGTAACAATAACTGAAACCATTGGTCAAATTGTAGCAAATAATTCAGATTTTGAAAGGAGTGCAAAAGCAAAAAGAGGTGTTTTGGATACAATCTTCTGCTACCAACATTTGCTTAAGAAAAGAAAAAAGCGACGAATGAAACTACATGACTTTATCGCAAGAAACAAGAATTTCAGAAAAGTCAGGACCTTCATCACAAAAAATAAACTTTACATTTCTGTGTGCATATGTTTTTGTGTTACTTAACATATATTATTATGCAAATTAATATAAAAATTACTTAAAATTATAGTAAAATTTGTTTATTTTTGGTCGCATATTCTTCTTTCCCTATTTACTGTATGTTAAAATGACATCGTTTAATGCTGTTTCACTTAACGCTTTGTTGTGTAAGAACACATCCTGCATTAAGCAGGGTAATTTGATTATTGTTAACCCGTTCCAGAAAGAAACAGTTTTTGTAGCACGGTTGGAGATGCATGGTTTTTAAGACTGCTGGATTGTTGTTATTGCTATTGTATTTTAAATTAAATAGAATTTAATTTTAAATATATAAACAACATTGCTATCGGCTATAAAGAATATTGCATGTTATTCCCAGCTTGGAGGGCATTGTTTGAAACTTATTATTACTTTTTACATCCCAATGCAACCGTGTGATTGCCAACTTCCAATCAGGCATTATTCTTTTTATATTTTAAATTATAACATTCCATTTCATGTTTCATTCTGAATCTGTTTTTTCTTTTTAATCTGAAGATGGTTGCTTAAGGCAAATGAAAACATTTGTTTTCTTGGCACTTATGGGTTAAGAGGACGCCAGTCGGAAATAGCGTTTTCTCCGAATAATGCAATTTTTTATTTGTCAAATTTAATAAAATTGTTAAATCAAACAATAAATTATAATTTATAAAGATATAACAAAAGTTCACAAACTGTAATAATAAACCACTCGAATATGCAAATTGTTTTGTAGTGTATATGGCAAATAGGCGATATCTATTATCCTAATTGATTTTTTTTTCATTTTTACATCCTTATCAGTAAATTTTCTTCTTTTTAGATTTAAATTTACTAGTCTATTGTTATTTTGATATTTTCATTCAAAATTGCGACTTTGATTGCTATTTCTGACTGGCGTCCTCTTAACCCATAAGTACCGTTTTCTTCCAACATTTTGTCTTACAAGCTGAAGTTTTGGTTTTGTAAGTGATATTTATAACACATGGTACCTTTAGGCTTGCATATGACATTTGCACATTTGAAGTAGATACCATGTGACTGCATAGCCATCCTTTTCATATGCTGTTATCTTTCCTTCTTCTGATTTGTTGCATAAACAATAGGATTCTTGGGAATATAAGCCTTTTAATGATAGATTCGATTGTCTTGTGTGTAATTCTACAAGGTGATCAAAAAATTGCACACATGCACTGTATGTTAGTGATCAATTTTATTTTGTGAGGTTAATATAAGAAAATACAGAAAGTAGTAAAAACAAAGTTTATAATCTGGTCTTTCAGAAAAGTAAAATTAAACCATGTTATTACAACATATGTTTGAAATTGTCTCCTCATTCACAAGTACAAACACAATCTCTTTTTATTATTTTTTGATCCCCCTTGTGAAGCACCTGAAAACTGATACTGGAAATTGCCATTATAATATTCTTTTGTTTATATATTGTGTGTGGATTATTTTTATTCATGGTTCCTTTGAGACACCCCTCAGAAGAAAAACTCTAGGGCTGACAAATGTGGTGATCATGGAGGCCACAGTCCTTTAGAAATAAAACAGTTGCCAAAAAATTCTAGCAGAAACTGCAGAATCCAGATATTTCTGATTAAACCCATCTGCATCACATGCATAAGAGCAATTAGTGAAATAATGTTCAATAATGAAAATCCATTGTTCATGGGAGAAAAAACCATTTCACTTCCTCAGTGAACAAAGCTAATAATTTTATGACTTACACAAAAGTCAGAGTTTTTATTAGTAGTCAGCAATCATTATAGTGCCATCTTTGTGGCAGAAGACATAATAAAAAAAAACCAGTAATGAGTTGTGTAACTTTCCTAGCTGTTAGGAGATTTTATTTAAAAAATAACTTTTATATTATTAATAAAGGAATTATGTGTGATGCCATTTGTTATGAGATTTTNAATTCCATTTGCAGTCCACCATATGCACAATATTGGCAGGTGCCAATTGATGAAGTATCCATTTACTGAGCTTGTAAACTTTCCCAAGACAATGCAAATGTAAACGGACAGTTTCATCACTTACGGAGAACCTTTGTGCTAACATCTGACAAGTTTGAGCAGAATATTCTTCGATTGCAGCCTGTAATTCAACATCATTCTCATGGCGCATCTTTAAGCGACTCATTGCCGGAAGAAAATTTTGTAAACCATCTTTGGGTGGTGTGAGTGCTAACAGAACCTTGTCCAAAAGCCTGGCATATTTTTTGAGCCATTTGCACAGCACTTGTTCCAAGTTTAAACTCATACAACATACAAGCACGAATTACAGAGTTTGGAGTACTCATCTTCAAGTCAATTTTTATAATATTAAGAGATAACCTTTCCACTTCTCTTTATATAAGGTGAGTCAGCATTAAATCTTGATTAACATATTGCTGGAATTTTAGTGTCATCTATTGTGTATTGCGTGTAACATTCTTTAAACTTTGTAGTTTCACAAAAAACGACAGAACTTTTTTGGTTACCTAATAGATAGAAGGAATAACTGTAAATCAATAAAAAAATAATTGAATTTAATTGAATTACTTTTTAGGAACATATTTTTTATGAAATGAAAATTGGTGTTGTAAACTTTTTAAAAATAGTTTTTTTTTTATTTTAGATGGAAAACTAATACTAGGATCTTCGAATTTAACTGGACGATATTGGGGTGGTTCTTTATGGTTATTTAAAAATTCCAATGATGCACCAGATATTGAGAAATGTCTTGCCGGTGTTGAAACTGAAGCTGGAATTTCTGATGCTGCAGTATTAGGAAAAGATAAAATTATTATTGGATTAGATTCAGGTAAGATATAAGTTTTAAGATTAAGTTCATCTTCAGTAATTCTTATTAACTATAAGATAAAACATGAACAATCACAAAATTTGAAAAGTTGACAATAATAAATACAATCAACTCAATAGTTACTTCAAATATCAAATGAACAGTGGATTCTTTTATTAGGCTACTTAATAGCCTGATAATTACAGTGGTGCCTTGTATAACGTACTTAATCCGTTCCAGGTGCACGTCCGTTAAGTGAAAAGTCCGTTACACGAAATGCATTTTCCCATAGAAATACATGTTAAAACATAGTTTGTTCCACAGCATAAAATAACCGTACTGTACCATAAAAAAAAGAAAGAATGAAAATGGAGCAGTCACTAATTATGCCGGTTAGTCAGATGTTGTGAGGAGGAGGTGGAGGAACACTTTCTTCACACATTCATACAAACACAGACTTTTTACACATTGCAGCAGGTCTCTTTTTACTGGTTTTTAATCAGAGTCCGATTCAGGAGAGGCTACCAGAGCTTTCAGGATCAACTCCTCTTGTTCCATCCTTTGTTTTTTGGCAGCTGGCTTCTTGAAAAACATGTCCAAGGTGGTCTGTTTTTCTCTCTTCTTCAACACATGTCAGAAATGACGGGCAAGGGTGTCATTGTAGGGATCATTGATCCTGTTGGCCTCAGCTCTGTTTGGATAATGAGTGTTGGTAAACTATTGAACTTCTCCCCATTTGACAAGGAAGTTTTTGTCAACTTTCACTCCTTCTGATGATTTCTTGCTTTGTTTCAATTGAAATCGCCTTTCTGTGTTTTTAGAAGCCATGATTTGCACAACACTTGAATAAATGTAAATACCTTGCACTGAGGTGATTTGCACTGTATGTAATAAACAAGGGAGCAAGCCGAATCCCAACGGGAGCTCTGTACTTNTAGTCTATTGTTATTTTGATATTTTCATTCAAAATAGCGACTTTGATTGCTATTTCTGACTGGCGTCCTCTTAACCCATAAGTACCGTTTTCTTCCAACATTTTGTCTTACAAGCTGAAGTTTTGGTTTTGTAAGTGATATTTATAACACATGGTACCTTTAGGCTTGCATATGACATTTGCACATTTGAAGTAGATACCATGTGACTGCATATCCATCCTTTTCATATGCTGTTATCTTTCCTTCTTCTGATTTGTTGCATAAACAATAGGATTCTTGGGAATATAAGCCTTTTAATGATAGATTCGATTGTCTTGTGTGTAATTCTACAAGGTGATCAAAAAATTGCACACATGCACTGTATGTTAGTGATCAATTTTATTTTGTGAGGTTAATATAAGAAAATACAGAAAGTAGTAAAAACAAAGTTTATAATCTGGTCTTTCAGAAAAGTAAAATTAAACCATGTTATTACAACATATGTTTGAAATTGTCTCCTCATTCACAAGTACAAACACAATCTCTTTTTATTATTTTTTGATCCCCCTTGTGAAGCACCTGAAAACTGATACTGGAAATTGCCATTATAATATTCTTTTGTTTATATATTGTGTGTGGATTATTTTTATTCATGGTTCCTTTGAGACACCCCTCAGAAGAAAAACTCTAGGGCTGACAAATGTGGTGATCATGGAGGCCACAGTCCTTTAGAAATAAAACAGTTGCCAAAAAATTCTAGCAGAAACTGCAGAATCCAGATATTTCTGATTAAACCCATCTGCATCACATGCATAAGAGCAATTAGTGAAATAATGTTCAATAATGAAAATCCATTGTTCATGGGAGAAAAAACCATTTCACTTCCTCAGTGAACAAAGCTAATAATTTTATGACTTACACAAAAGTCAGAGTTTTTATTAGTAGTCAGCAATCATTATAGTGCCATCTTTGTGGCAGAAGACATAATAAAAAAAATCCAGTAATGAGTTGTGTAACTTTCCTAGCTGTTAGGAGATTTTATTTAAAAAATAACTTTTATATTATTAAAAATTATAATGTTTTCTCCAGTTTTTAAATAATTGGCAAATTATTTATAAATAGTAGTCTGAACTCTTAAGCATACTGTATATAGATTCTGAAAATGAAATTTGGTATAATAAATTTATTGATTTTTGGTTGATAATATTTACTATATAAATTTATTGATTTTTGGTCGTTAATATTTACTATATAAGTTTGAGTTAATTGACAATAATGTAAGATTTGGTTTTGATTTTGGCTGAAACTGACTTTAAAACCCAAATTTGGTTTTGTTTCGGATTAGGCTGAAAAATCCAATTTTGATTGGATCTTACCTGTCTGAAAAATGTAATGATACCAGATCCAATACCCAAGAAGTATCGATACCTGTATTAGTTCAAAATATCGAGTACGCAAATAATACGCTGTATTGAAGGAAAGTATTGATGTAGTATAAGTATTGGCAGTTTCAGAACTTCCATAGTAATATGAAAAAATTTAGTTCTCCTTTAATTAATGATAAAATTTTCTATATACAGTAAGACCCCACTTAATGCTGATTCGATAAAACGTGGTCTGCTCAAAGCCTAAAAAATGCTCAAAATTTACACTGATTCAAATTAACATGGCATATCATTGATTCGTATATAATATGATTATTCCCAAACATGAACCAATCAGCAAAAGGTGGCAATTCGTTGTAGCACTGAATTTCCCTTAAATCTGTGTTTGTTTTGTGCAATTTTGGAAAAATATGCCATCACAGATGCCATAGGAAATATCGACTTTGCTTGGCAAGAATTAACTGATAAATGCATGAACAGAGTGTGGAAGAAGTTATGGCTGAAGGTATCCAAGAATTCTCAACAAGAGCCTATCACTGTATCATTAGGTTGACCAAATTGTCAACCTAATTGATACACAAGACAGAGATGTAGACAAGCAGGATATTGAAGAGTTACTGCAGGTTTCTGGTGAGAGCCTTACCAATGGTGATCTTCAGGAACTGGCAAAACATGTAGAACTGGAAAATAAAGATTCTGAATACGAAGTACCCAAAGAACTTGCTACAGATTTCTTTAGTAAAAATTTGGTAACAATAACTGAAACCATTGGTCAAATTGTAGCAAATAATTCAGATTTTGAAAGGAGTGCAAAAGCAAAAAGAGGTGTTTTGGATACAATCTTCTGCTACCAACATTTGCTTAAGAAAAGAAAAAAGCGACGAATGAAACTACATGACTTTATCGCAAGAAACAAGAATTTCAGAAAAGTCAGGACCTTCATCACAAAAAATAAACTTTACATTTCTGTGTGCATATGTTTTTGTGTTACTTAACATATATTATTATGCAAATTAATATAAAAATTACTTAAAATTATAGTAAAATTTGTTTATTTTTGGTCGCATATTCTTCTTTCCCTATTTACTGTATGTTAAAATGACATCGTTTAATGCTGTTTCACTTAACGCTTTGTTGTGTAAGAACACATCCTGCATTAAGCAGGGTAATTTGATTATTGTTAACCCGTTCCAGAAAGAAACAGTTTTTGTAGCACGGTTGGAGATGCATGGTTTTTAAGACTGCTGGATTGTTGTTATTGCTATTGTATTTTAAATTAAATAGAATTTAATTTTAAATATATAAACAACATTGCTATCGGCTATAAAGAATATTGCATGTTATTCCCAGCTTGGAGGGCATTGTTTGAAACTTATTATTACTTTTTACATCCCAATGCAACCGTGTGATTGCCAACTTCCAATCAGGCATTATTCTTTTTATATTTTAAATTATAACATTCCATTTCATGTTTCATTCTGAATCTGTTTTTTCTTTTTAATCTGAAGATGGTTGCTTAAGGCAAATGAAAACATTTGTTTTCTTGGCACTTATGGGTTAAGAGGACGCCAGTCGGAAATAGCGTTTTCTCCGAATAATGCAATTTTTTATTTGTCAAATTTAATAAAATTGTTAAATCAAACAATAAATTATAATTTATAAAGATATAACAAAAGTTCACAAACTGTAATAATAAACCACTCGAATATGCAAATTGNCTCAATCCACGGATGGTGTGATATGGTTATATCTAAATTAGTTAATTAATTAATTAGTCTGAAAGTGAAGATCAGACAGAGATCTGGGTAACATAACCTGCAATGCATCTGCAAAAATAAGCAAGAATTGCAAATTTGAGTCTTACTCCAGAACAAACTTTTCTAAATATTTTAAAATTAAATTTAACAAGGACTGCTGGTCTTACTACCTACCACTTGCCAGATTACTTAATAATTCTTTAACTTTAATAGCCTGAGAAAGGCATTCAGCTGTTCATTTGATATTTGAAGTCAACAGTACAGTAGACCCCCCCCTATAACACGGTAGATACATTCCATGTTTTATGAAATTTATGTTGTATGAGTCCTTAAATACATGAGCCAATCACAGCCCGGCATGTATGCAGTTTATGGACTACAGCTGTTTGAAAGGTTTTCTTCCATAAAATTAATCGATTCTAAATTAATTTGACTCAACATTTCCAAAACACGTATAATTTTTTGGGAATAATCCATATAAACTATGCTATAAACAAAAAATTGTAGGATTACTTACTGAGTGTGCATCGTTTGACGACGCCATTGCTTAAGCTTGTTTTCGTCGCAGAGCGGCACATCGAACGGCAGGCGCATGTTTCCCTATTTTTCTGCGAAAAATTTGCTGAACTTTGGAGACATCATTAATATAAATATAATTTTTATGGGCATTAAATAATAAATGGTTTTTAGTAGGTCTGCTGCTTGTTTAAACTCAACGGTTTGTGCAATATTTGCTATTGGTCTAGATTCGACCAATCCTTTCGTGACACGAGTCAGCGATGATGTTTTACCATATCATACAAGTCTCTTTTAGCATGTTTATAGAAATACGATCACAATTTTTTTGCTGTTATATATGAATCTGTATTATATGAACCCATTTTATAGGGGCATCTACTGTAATTTAAACTTGTTCTTAATCATTTCTGAAGATGAGCCTATAGGCTTAAGAAAAGTGTAAAACATTTATTATATCTGAAAATTTCATTAAAATATTTCTGTTAATTTTTTATTCTTGATGTGTATTTAAATTTTCCTATTGAAATGTAGATTAAATTCATTAATGTGGACTGTAAGTATACTGAAAACAATAATTTAATTGTTTAAGAAAAAAATGTAGAAATTTCTCATTACTTTATTTGTTTATAAATTTGTGATAGTTTTTTAATTTAAAGCTTGTTAATATAATTTTGTTACTTAACATGTTATGGTTGTATTATAGAATGATTGGAATATGCTTTTCTTGAGAATACTCTATATTTTGTTAATTTATGTTCTGTAAATGACAAAAATTTAACAATAATTTTAAAAATCTTAAGAGAAGGTATTTATCTTTATATAAATGTACTATAAACCTTTTGATTAGTGTCAATAACACACAAACATTGCATGAACATTTTCAGGCTCCTCAGGAGTACTGCTTCAGGTGAATCTTGCTGTGTTGTTGATGAAACACAATTTCAAACATAAAGATTTGAATGTTCATTAAATAACGAATAACATCCAACATTTGTTAAAAAAACAAACGAATTTAGAACAAATAGAAGTCTTTGGAGCGTCTGCCTTAACATTACGAAAAGTATAGAACAAAATGCCAAATGTCAGTACAGGCATGTGCAAGAGCTCTTACAAGAACTATAGAGCCAGTATGTAAAAGGCTTGCCAAGTTGCCAAGAGAGAAAGCTCTTCCTTATGATTCATTCATTTGGTGTTTATATTTGTTTTAAAAATTTCTAAAGCTTCTAAATATCTAAGCCATTCGGTGTGTTGCATTGTTACTAGATGCTAGTCTTTTGTAAATGTCTTCTATATCTCGGTCTGTAGCATATATTGACAGGATTGTAGAGGCATGCTCTTGCAACCTTTTAACTACTGGTCTTTTTGTAGAGACTATTTACATGGGCTTTCTATCAAATCTACTTTCTTTTAGAGGCAAACAGTACAATCCTGGAAGCTTATGGGGTGGGTGGGTCCTGTGCATTTTTGAGGAGAGCAAAAATGGTGTGACATCTCTTATAAGTAATATTGATGGCCCCTTTTTTGGTTATCATATGAAATATTGACCTCAGGAGGGGGTGGAAGGTTTTTTTATCTCATTTATCATGATATTATCTAACTGTCTATCATATCAAAATTAATTCAAACATTTTTAGATGTATACAAAGTACAGCTTAACTAAGAACTAGTCTAACAAATATGCTAATAACTGACAGGGTGTCCACCATGAACCTAACACATTTGAAACTGTTGTAAAAAATTACTGCTCAGGAAGAATGTAAAGTAATGCACATTTTATGATGAAAAACTCAAAAAGTTTTATTAAAAAAATCAGTGAACCTCTATATGAGCTCCTTTTGTTGACATAGAACATTGAGTCTATACTCCTTTTCCTGCCAGGTTCTTTCAAGCATATCGGGCATGACGGCAGCAACAGCATCATGAATGTGCACGCAAAAATGTTGAAGGTCACAAATTTTGACACTGATGTAAACCTTGTCTTTGACAAATCCCCAAAAGAAAAAGTCTAAGTCCAATCCAACAACCGGGAAACTATGCCCAGATTGCCATCGCCGTGTGATTTTAACATGGTTCCCTTCATCAAGAAGTGTTGTTTTCATAACTTGAGTGTGTTCCTCAAGGGTGGCACCTTACCAAACACATGACAAAAGTTCTGTTGCACTAGAATCACAGAATTTGTCTCAGCGTCCCACCACACAGCTTGCGCCCACTCTTGTGGAGAAGCCATTTTGCGTTTGACTGCTGCCACACCACCTACAGTCACTTTGGTGGGTTTTCAAAATTACCTATACAACTTTCACAGTTTCTCTGCCTAATAGAAAGCACAACATCTGATTACTGCCTTACACTTTGATATGGCAGTCAAAACAAATGTGTCAGGTTCATGGTGGACACCCTGTATATTGTTTACATTTAATTATCTTAAACTTGTCATTTTAAAATAACATTTTACATAATTATTACCATCTTCAGATATTTCATAACAAACATTGAATTTTACCAATAGATCTTTTGATAGAATAAAAAACAAATTTTTTCAGGTGATAATGTGAGATTGATAAATTGAAAATCCAGATTTATGAAAGATTCGTTAGTTGGCTGAAATTTTTTATGCATTTTAGACAAGCCTCATCATCAATTCTGAGTACATTCATAAAGTTGAATGAATTAAGTGTGCTACTAATGAGTTGGTCATAAAGTACAAATTTTGCTTAATGTGTATACTTGATGTTGGTGGTGTTTCAAACAAAACTGTATCAAAATTCATAAAGGAGAGAGTTAGTTTATTTTGTGAAGAAAATGGTGCCTAGCAATATTAATGTTTCTAAATCTACTTGAGTGTTTTAACTGTAGATTAAAAGGTGAAATGATACAAATAACTGTCTTGTCTGAATTAATCTAACTTGTAAAAAAAATATTTCATAATTCAACGATCGCCTAAACATTTGGACTATAATATGGCTATAATCAAATAATTTATACACACAAATTTGGTACTAGAGGTAAACATTAGGTGCTATCTCTTATCTAAATTAATAACTATAATTTTAATAATTTAATAAATAATTTAGAACCTTCTGGAAGAAAATAACTGACCCGGGGCAGGGCTTGAACCCACAGCCTCTGCTTGCCATGTGGTACGCTACTAATTGCGCCATCTGGACTCCAAGTCAGCCTTTGCTTCCAGAAGTATTTAAATTTCGATATAACCTTTCAGCAAAGGCTGCGGGTTCAAGCCCTGCCCCAAGTCAGTTATTTTCTTCCAGAAGGTTCTAAATTATTTATTAATTAAATTATTAAAATTATAATTATTAATTTAGATAAGAGATGGTGCCTAATGCTTACCTCTAGTACCAAATTTATTTGGATAAATTTTTTGATTATAGCCTTATAATAGCCCGAATATTTAGGCAATTGTTGGATTATTAGGTTAACTCATCAGGCTTTGAGATGTGTATTATAAAATACTAGCTGTACCCAGCTATGTGTTGCTGTAGCTCAAAATGTATCTATTATAGATGTATAACACTCCCCACGGAGGGAATTTCAAAAAATCCCTTCTTAGTGTACATTCTCTTGACATACCTTATTAAAACGGAATCAAAAACACAAAAAACCGCATCTAAAATAGTATAATAGAAGCTGAGTTCTTCACGGTAAGCTTTAATTTTGTCTCTCTCCCCCGTGGGGGGAATTTCAACATCTATATAATATACAAGTTTGGATACATAGTATAGATTTCAGGTAAAATGACATTAGCAGCATTCATAAGTTCAATTTTAGAAACAGCCATTTTATTGTAAGCTAATTGGTCAGAATGTTTAACAAAAGTGAGAATAATGATGATGTCATTCTCATTTAACTTGCTTGACTTTGTGAACATACCCTCTGAAAAGAATTTCCATTTATGGATTGTGTGCCATTTATTAGGAAAAAGTTTTTAGTCTTATATTTCTTTGAAGATGTTGCTGAAATATCTCCCAATTATTTATATCTTGAATTATTTAAAAGTATATTGAAATTATATCTTAATGAATTACTGCTTATTCAGTTTCCCACTATTTTTAACAGAATGTTATGCCATTTTTTTAATGTATCATTCAATGAGTAATTGAATGACTAACTCATTTGTAAAAGAGAGAAGCCTAGTAGAGTAGCTACAAGATCTCCTTATTTTGAACTATTTTCTGTGGGAAATGTTTTATATCTAAAAGTGAATTATTAATGAATTATATAAATTGAAAGTATGTAGATTGAAATCAATACTGCATTCACTTTCTAATATCACTTAAATACTCCAATTATCAAAATTCAACAGTTTCAATTATACTAAATTCTTTTGTATATATTATTCACCCAATTGTTGGTTTTTTTAAGATTAATGGCAAATGCATTGAGTTGTTTTTTGCGTGTTGCCTTTTTTTTATTTTAGAGCACTGTTTAGATATGTTTTCTTATTTAGAAATTAATTTATTAGTGTTTTATTAACAAGAAAAATTTGCATCTTTCTATAAACAGTTAAAACATTGTTTTTAGTATGTTATGTCATTTGATTTTTTTCCTTAAATACAGTAAATGCTTGCTTACATTGTTAATTTTATGTTCAATTGTTTGGTTTGTTTCTTATCATACTGTTTATTGTTATATTATATTTAAGTACTTTGCATGAATAATTTGTTATTAACTAAATTTAATTTTGTAGGTTCTGTAGAATTAATTAGTTTGAAATCTGATCCAGTCATTCTCAGTAATGAGTTTTATTCATGTGAGCATGATCATGTTATTAGTTCTATAAGTGTGTCTTCTAATGACTTGTTCTGCATAAGTTCCAGTTTTGATGGATGGTAAGTATAATTTTTTCTGATTAAGAAAATTATTTAAAATATTTGGGTTTAGATTCAAATAAAAATATTATTAAAAAATTTATGATAAATTTCATTTTACATTTATTTTCATATTTTTTAATAAATTTATTTCTGATATTTCTTTATTTTAGTGTGAAAACTTTAAATATATTCAATGCAGGTTAAAAAAATGTATTTTTGAGAATTTAATACCTAAAATAAAATGCAAGATAGTATAATAGTATTTATATAAATTTAAATATTTTGTGTAATGCATGTGGTATGACACTTATATAGGAGAGAACAATAGGTACAATAAGCATCCTAGCTATCCTCCATAGTTGCCTTCTTTCCTGGGCAAGTTCTGTGTAAAGCATGTTTTGTATATTGTGAGTGTTTGGAATGGAAATGGATATGTCTATAATGAATGTGATTTTATTGTGTTTATCAATGAGTGTGATGTCTTGTCTTTTGTGATAAATTGTTTTATCTGATTATCACTTTGTCATAGTACATTTTGTGCATGTTGTTTTTCAATACTGTCTGTGGATTCGTAGTATAGTTTGTGGATGTCTAATAATTTGTGTTTGTTTGCAAGCAATTGGTATATTATATTTGCTACTTGATTATTTCTATGTAAATAATTGTCTATGCCAGGAGCTTGCAAACATGTATGGTTTCTGGCATGATGTGACATTTTTGCATATGTCATTTGTGAGTGTTGTATCTTTGAGTGACCTGACCCTGTATGGCAATCATAAGCCCTTCCATCTCCCCAAAGAGACATTCTTGAGCTAGCCAACTGTTTGACACAGTTTTGTCAACAAAATCCTGGAACAGGTCATAGGGATGACTGCCATGGAGTGCCTTTTGAATTCACAATTGCTTAATGGTGTGAGTGCAAGTTTAATGGTGTGTTATTTGAGTCTGCTAGAGTTACTGCTTTAAGTAACTGTGATATTTCTTGTTTTTTGCAGAAAAACTCTCACAGTGTCTGTATTTGTTTGTAGTGAAGGTTAACTATGTCAATCAGGCCACATCCACCATCTGTACATGGAAGGGTTAATCTTTTTATGACAGATTTAGGATGATGTTTATGCTTAGTAAATGTTGTTCTTGTTTTCCTTTGGAGTTGCTCGAGATCTGTGTTCATTGTATAACTCCAAAAGAATAAGTGAATACTGGGATGACGCATGCTTTGCATTTAACTATGTTCTGAGAATAGCATTTAACCTACCTTGGCATTCTTTAATTAATCTTTGCTTTATTTGTGTATGTTCTGTTAGTTTAGCTTGTTGGAATCCTAAATACTTGTAGAACTTGCCCTCTTCCATGGATTCAATAATGTCCCCATTTCCAAGTGCAAAATCATCTTTCTTCAGGATTCCTTTTTCTATGTGAAGTGTTTTGCATTTGTCTAGGCCAAACTCCATTTGTATGTCCTTGGTATATGAATGTGTGATTTGTAGGAGTTGATGAAGTTGTTTTTGTGTGGATGCATAAAGTTTTATGTCATCCATGCACGGTACATGAGATGAGACAATGTAAACTGTGTTGGTTTTTCATGTTTGATATTGTAACCATATTATGTGTTGTTTAATATGTTAGATAATGAGTTCAGGGATAAGCAGAACCAGAGAGAATTCAACGAATCTCCTTGAAAAATTCCTTGCCTAATGAATATTTGGTTTGTTTGTATGGAATTGTTACTAACCTTGAGATGCAGTGTTGTTCTCCAGTGCTGCATAGTGTTTTGGAAGAATGCAATGAGTGATGGATGTATTTTGTACATGTGTAGAATATGTAGCAACCAACTGTGTGTTTTTGTGTAGTCTATATATACAATGACCATATTTTTTGGGAGAAAATAAAGGACATATCGAAGAAAGTCAAAAAATACCTTATAAAATTCATAAGTTTATAACATTTATTACGAAAATAGTAGCATACAACAATGCATACATTAAAATTTTAAACAATCTGAATTATTACACATACACACATTGTAAAAATTTAAATAACATTAATTTTGATACTTTTCAGTAGAATTAATTTTTTTTTATAGTGCCGTCTCATGCTTTAAAGTCATAAAATTCCATACAGTTCATTTGAAAGTTGTATTTGATGGAAATACATGCTTCTAATGTGCTTACTTTTAAATCAGTTTTTT